TACATGCATATATGCATATATATATATATATATTTATATGTATATATATATATATATATACACATGTTGGTATGGCCAACAGAAGCAGTCCACGGTATCCGCACCCCTAGTTCTAGTCTGATCCCCAGACCCTACATAATGTGTTCGCCAAGCTGCCATTACTGCGCAGCCAAGCACGATTACAACGGGCGCCGCTGCGGTCCAGCCTTCGCAAAGCTTGGGATGCTTGCCATTCGTCGGATTTGCGGCTTCCGTGCGCACTACACGGTGAAGGAGGACTGATGAGTCCTTCGAGTGACAAAGTAATTGCCCATGAATGTTGCCTAAGATGCTGTCTCTAGCTCAAATACGAAACCTAGTAGTTTGCTATTCGATGTTTTCAGTTGTTGTGCGTGTGATCGCAGCTTCATCCAGCACGAATTCGGCTTCGGTTCGCTTGTGGCTTCAATGCTTCGAAATCGTAGTCTGTCTTGCATCGTCGAAACACAGAAGCTACCTGCACCAGTTGTATGATAAAGGTTCGGGGTGTACGGAATCAAGGGACCAGGTTCGGCAGATTTCAGGGGCTTGCCTGCCTACTAATGCTGTGCTAATGGGGATTCGTTTTCAACGACTGCAATTCCTCATGCATGCATAATCCTACCCGACAAGCAACCCGCAAACACCTCAGTGCCATGCAACTTAAGAAAGTGCTAGAGCTGAAAGCCAAGGTCCATGCTGTTCTCCCATGTCGTAGGCCTGAGACTCGAGCATGGGCTGAGGGTGTGATTCCTTGATGACACTTAGTATACGACGTAGAGGTTGGACTGTGAAAAACAGCTCTAGTAGAGGCTAGTAGCTCGAGAAATCAGCAACACGATGAGGACGACCACTACGGCAACTGGCACTCCTGCTCCTACTCCTAGTCCTACTACAACAACAACTACTACTACTACAATTACAACAACAAGTGCTACTCCTACGCCTACTCCTACTCCTAGTGGTAGTAGTAGTAGTAGCAGTAGTAGTAGTAGTAGTAGTAGTAGTAGTAGTAGTAGCAGTAATACTAGTAGTAGTAGTAGTAGTAGTAGTAGTACTAGTAGTAGTAGCAGCAGTAGTAGTAGTAGTAGCAGCAGCAGTAGTAGTAGCAGCAGTCGTAGCAG